CCTGAGAGGAGAATGGAGGAGAAGGGATTGCGGCGTGACCATCCCCCCTGGGGGGTGATTTCTCACTTTCTGTCACTATGTCTCTCTCTATCTGGCAAGCGCACGTGCCCTATAGCGAAAATTTCTCCAAAGGAAAAAAAAAAAAAAGAAAAAGAAAATCTTCTGGTCATTCAAGGTCATCATTCTGAATATATTGTACTGAAGAAGAGGCAATTAACAAAACATTGTAATAGGATGCTGGAGTTTGCTGGTTCTTGATGATGTAAGCTCAAAGAGACCAAGGACCTCATCTGTCTTATTTATTGCTGTGTATTCAGCAGTGCTTACCACACTATGGGTGCTAAGCAAATATTTGTGAATGAATAAGACACTCCTGGAAGAGTATGGTTGTATGTGCCATCAGCCTCCAGGACACGTGCCTCTTCCTACTTACCTCTAGCCCTCAAAGTCAATTGTAGAGTAGAAAAGAAACATCAAGGTGTGTACATGTGTATGCATGTGTGTAGCTCACCCAGCAGGAAGGTAAATTCTCTGTCCCTTAAAGAAGGAAGCTTATGGGAACAGAAGTGAAGGAATTGAGTTTTCATATTTTATATGCATCTCTGAGAAGTGAAGAAGTACACCCTGATGACCAGAGACTACTGCCCCCTTCCAGATGCACAAGGCATCCTTTAGACAATCAGACAAATGTCTCGATTTCTTGAGGCATTATCTTAAGTAGCTAATAGGCCAGAGAATTCACTTGCACATTATCTACAAGTACAGCCCATGTCCAGAACAAGGTACTACCTAACAGCTAAAGTTCTTGCTATGTGCAAGGCACCAACTTAAACGCTTTGTATGTGATGACTCACTTAATTTCTTTTTTTAAATTTTTTACAGAGAGTTTTTTTGCTGCAGGGCATTTGCACTTGATGGAGAGATAGAGATAGAGAGAAAGAAAGTGAGAAATAACCCCCCTAGGGGGGATGACCATGCAATCCCTTCTCCTCCGTTCTACTGTTGGGATTTTGGGTAGTATACACACACACACACACACACACACACATACACACACACACACACACTCTGTGAGTTTCAAGTCAGTGGGTCTGGGACTCGAACCATGGTTGACTATGTAAGAGTTCAACATCATAACCATTATGCCATCTGCTGGTCCCAATATTTCAACAACCTGATAAAATAGATGCAGTTATTACATCTATTTTACAGATGTGGACACTGAGGCAAAGAGGAAAAATAATTTTCCCATAGTTACTTGCCAGGATTTCATCCCAGGCAATATGGCTTTGGTCGTGACTGCTCCAGCCTCTTTCTGCAAGGTTGTACTGGCACCAATTCAAGGGCTAATGCAGAAGTCTATAATAAAGTTTGAAAGGCTGAGGGAATTGGATTAAATAAGAATGAACTACTTCTGTTTCCTACCGAAAAAAAAAAAAAGCTGAGTTTACCTAATGGCCAATTCTTGCTGTTATCTAAATAATCTCCTGTTTGAATAGATGCCTATACAGGGGCCAGCAAGTGGCATAGGGGTTAGGGTATTGTACTCTCATATAGACTGCAGTTCAAATCCTGGACTTGGTGGCTTGCTTTCTTACTTTCCCTCTCTCTCTTCTTTCTCTCTGGCAGCTACACATGCCCTATAGCAAATTTAAAAAAATAAATAAAATTAAATGAATAATTATTATTTTTTTGGCTGATACAGTGTTATTGATGGTTCACAACTAGTTAGGTTCCCTGAGCCTCTCCCCTTCTCCAGGGGGTCTGGGATGGAAACTTTGTCAAAGAGGGGAGGTTCTCAGCATGGTGGGGACTAAGTGGGACAGGACCTCCCCAGCAGCTGAGGGTCTCTCTTCCTCATGCTTGTACTGGGGCTGGTGGTCCAGGGGCTCTGTGCCTTGAAGGCCATGAGGACCATAAGGTCCACTACCCTGTTGCTGTAGCCAAATTCATTGCAATACCAGGAAACGAGCTTGACAAAGTGGCCATTGAGGGCAACACCAGCCCCAGCATCAAAGGTGGAGGAGTGGGTGTCACTGTTGAAGTCACAGATGATCTGGCACTCAGTGTAGCTCAAGATGCCCTTCTAGGGGCCCTGCAATACCTGCTTCACCACCTTCTTGATGTCATCTTATTTGGCAGCTTTCCCCAGGTGGCAGGTCAGGTCCACAACCAACACATTGGGGGTGGAGACATGGAAGGCCATGCTGGTGAGCTTCTCATTCAGCTCTAGGCTGACCTTAACCACAGCCTTTGCAGCGCCGGTCAATGCTGGGGTGATGTTCTGTGCAGACCCCTGGCCATCACACCACAGCTTCCCTGAGGGGCTGCCCACAATCTTCTGGATAATGGTATAGACTTTGGTCATGAGTCCCTCCAGTTATTGTGATGCCAGTTATTGTGATGACCTTGGCCAGGAGGCCAAACAGTGGTGCAGGAGGCATTGCTGACAATCTTCAGGGAGTTGTAATACTTCTCATGGTTCATGCCCATCACAAACATGGGAGCATCAGCAGAAGGGGTGGAGATGATGACCTTTTTGGCCCCGCTCTTCAAGTGAGCCCCAGCCTTTTCCATGGTGGTGAAGACACCAGTGTGCTGTGTCCTGGATGGCTAAATGAATGCGTGCTCTGAGTGTGTGTGTGTGTGGGGGGGGAGGGCATGGACTAGAGAATAAATGTAAAAATAAACAAACAAGGACAAGCATGTAGAGAAAAGTAGGGATTTGGTGGTCTCAACTTCTCTAATGGAGGTAGCTGCAACCCTGAGTCAGTTCCAAGTTTATTTTTTTAAAGGGCAGAAAATGGGGAGAGGGGAAATGGAATGCAAAGCCAGTGTTTTTCATATGTTAATTGGTTGACAATGTGAAGACACTTGGCTTCTATGTGAGTTTTCTCTAATTTTCTCGGGTCAATTCTAATTAACATGTATGATTTTTTTAACCCAATACTTCTCTACCATTTTGGACATGGAGGCAGCTAGCAAATTCACATGTTAATGGTGTTCATTGTCCTGCATATGACTGCCCATGGATCCACAGTTCTGCATGTGTCTAAAAGTCACCATGTTTGCTTAGACTTGGGCCACTCCCTACACCGGTGGACTCCACAACATACTTAGCCTCAGCACTGCCCCATTTGATGTTGGTGGGATCTTGCTCATGGAAAATTGTCATCAATGGGAAGTCCATTCCTGTTCTCAGCCTTGTCAGTGCCATTGAACCTGCCATAGGTGGAATCATACTGGAACATGTAGACCATGTGGTTCAAGTCAATTAAGGGATCATTGTTGGAGATAATATCCACTTTGCCAGAGTTAAATGTGGCTCTGGTGATTTGGTGTCCAATATAGTCAAACCCATTTACTTATCATCGTGTCTCTGAGACATGGCTGACACTACAGGAGAAGATGCAGCTTTCTGTTGAACAGGGAGGAGCAGATAGCTGAATAAT